AAAAAGCATCTCATTCCATAATATATTCCTGAAGAGAAACATTACATTGGTTTTCTGTCCTTAGGTATCATGTGATGTCTTCCTTCAAATGTCACAACCAAGTCATGGACATTGATATCCATTATCTGTGCAGATCCAAAAAAAAATTGACTTGAGGTCCCTCAAATTAATTATGTATTTAAATGGTAAGTATGTGAATTTATAGTTGATCAATGACAAATGGTAGATATTGCTTATATTTGGTATAGGAGAGAACTGGATAGGAAAAGGATCAGAATTCACAAAAAGAGTAAGGAGCATAAAAATATTTCCAATATGAGAAAATATGATTTTTATGGGCAAAATAAAGAATGACTAATAAAAAATTGTAATGAATTGGGTTGTTACTCAGTGGTAGAGTGCTTGCATAGCATGTTTGAGGCACCCAGTTCAATTCTCAGCATTGGATATAAGTAAAATAAAATAAAGGTCCATTAAAAACTGAAAATATTTTAGAAAAAATATAAAATTGCAGGTTCAATCTTATTAATATATAAGAATTATGAAAACAATGATTAGTTTAGCAAAATACGTAGTTTTATTTTTATTATATACAGAACCCTTAAGATTAGTAGAACCCCCTTTGCTTATTATAATCTTTCAAAAATTGGGTAAATTCATGATAGAACCTTCTGTGAGCACACCAAAAGTAAAATCTCCATACACCAAAACTATAATAAACAAATGAAATAGACAATTTTTATTTCATGTAATAGAAACTACTTTCAAGAATGCATACAATATATAGGCAAAATATAAAATTAGGCATTTCTACAAAAAGTACACACATAAAACAACTGAATATATTATACCTAAGTTTATTTAAAATAATTGTAAAGGCAAGATTCATATGCTGTAAATTAAAGTATTTAAATTGCAAGGGTATGGTTTAGTGGTAATTACTATGTTCACAATGTAATGCAATATAGTTCTAAAGCATTTTCATTGATACAAAGCACTTGTAAAGAAATTTCTTCCCATGTCTCCTCTTCCTTTAGCCCCTTGTAATTTGTTTTCCATTTTTATTTATTTTTCTATTTTGCATGTTTCAAAAAAATCATACTAAATGTAATCCTTGTTATCTATCTTCTTTGAATTTATTTTCAATATTTATACTTAAAATAGCATGTACAGGAAGTTTGTTCCTTTAAAAAAACATTTATTTCATTATGTCTAACATGAAATCTACATTCTTAAAATTTTCAGATGTACAATACATTGCATTTTACTATAAGCTCAGTGTTTCAGAGCAGATATCTATAACTTGTTTTGTGTGCTTAATTGAAACTGCCTGTCTACTGAAAATCCTCATTCTCCACAATCTCCGCCCCTTTGCAATGACCATTCAACTTTTAGATTATAAAAGTTTGAGTATTTTCACTAGTATATGCATGTGGGGTTATCTAATATTTGTCCTTTTGCAATTGTTTAATTTCATTTAGCATCATGTTTTTTAGGTTTATCTATAAGTTCACATGTTGAGGTGTATTATCTTTCAAATATAATTAATATTCCATCATGTCTATTTGTCACACTTTATATATTCACTCATTACTAAGTGGATGTTTACATTTTTTCTACAACTTGGCTATTTCAAATTTCCTTGTAATACACATGAGAGTACTAACATTTCCTCGAAACACTATCACCATTTTTGGGAGGGAAAGAAAAAAAAATGGAATTTGGATTGTTGGCTCATATTACCAATTGCAATAAATATGTAAGTCATGGTTGAACACAAATTGTCCCTGACAATTAGTGGATAACTTCTAGGCCTTTCATTAAGTTCTTAAATGCTCTAGGGTTAAACTAGTTGCTTGTCATCTCCTTTGGGAGAGTCCCAAAGGTGATAAAAATGCATAAATTGTCCTCACAAATGCCATGTTAAAAAGCAAATAGGAGAAGTAAGAGAGACTATCATAAACCTAATAAAGACAGAAGGTGTTATGTCATACTGTATGGTACAATACTTACAGAAATGCTCACATTTTGCCCTGGTTTTGCCATTTAATGTAAGTGACCATTTCCAAAATCAGTTTCTGTGCTTTCTACTGTTCCATAAGGCCTTAGCAAAATTGGGAATCACTTTTTTTTTCCTTCATGCTAATTTTTGTGTATATTCAAATAGGTTGAGAGAAACCATCTTGGAAACATGCAATTTCTGTGTGCTTATAAAATATTTGATTCAGTATACATATATGATTTTATGTCTAATGGAAGCCAATAGTGGCAACAAAGTAAAAAATGATGCAGATTTTTTTAAATTATAGAATTTGCAGTGATCCTGTCTTTCACTTTGATGTACTTCCAAATACTTATTTATTGACATTAGATTTTATTTGTAAACCTTTCAAAATAATTTGATGAAGAAAGGGGGTTTTCTGCTTCATATTGAGACATTGAGAAATGAAATGCATTATATGCAAATCCAGAGTCTTTTGAGTTCCCATTTTACAGTGAAGAGAAATGTTCTTCATTTTTGCAGTGGAATCTGAGTAAATTTTTCTCAGAGAAGTGTTAAATAACGAAATATCAGTATTCAGAGAAGACAGATAATGGTGAAAAGTTGCTTGATTATCTCCATTCAAATTCAAAGGTGGTAAGAAGAAACTATTTTTTAAAAAATCTTAACCTTGTGGGAAATTTGATACTTACCACTTTATTTTTTAAATTTATCTTAATTACAAACTGAGCCAAAGCATTTTTTTTAAAAAAAAGCCTTATATTGTTTATTGTTGGATTTATTAAAGGTATTTCTCTAGTGTTGTGGTCTAGTATATTTCAAGATTCATCTAATGTAAGAAGGTGTAACTGTGAAGCAGGGTGGAATTAAGTTAACCACTGCAGATTCAGCAATATTTTATATTTCTTATATGTAAATTATATGTGATCAGCTTTATATTTAATGTTATGAAATTATAGAATATTATTTCCTCATAATTCATTTACAGTCTCTTTTCAATACAACTTAAACTGTAAAGTATGTCATTTTCATTTATTGTTCTTTTTATTTAGAAATCTTTGCTGCCCACAAATTTTATACCCATAAATATTATCTAACCTTCCATGCTCTATACCTGTTTTTATGCTACACCATTCAATCTCTTGGTTATTAAAGGTGTTTGGATATGTTTCTTGGCTCTTTGCACATACTTTTCTGCATGATGGGCTAATTAACTTTAGGAGGAATTTCTTGTGAACATGATGCACAAGAGAATTTCAAATCAAATCCAGAAATATGTCATCATTGTGGAATTTTATTTTTCTCTATGGTATTGTCTACCACCCTAAAAGTTTTATACACTGCGGAAATTTATAATATTTATTATAAAAGTATTTCAACCTCTTATTCCTCCTTATAATATAGGGATTTTATGAGTCTTTGTTGTATAAAACCAGTGTCATTGAACTCTCTTTTTGCTGATTTACTCTGATTTCTTCATATTTATCTAGGGTACTACACTTAACATAATTCATATTTGTTACCTATAAGTAAAGATATTTCAATTATAATGACAATTCCCCCAGGGAAAGGCTAAGATTTTAAATGAATTTAAATCCAAACAACTCACACTAAAATATTGCTGAAATATTTGTGACACTTAGAAGATGAGTAATCCAATACTGCATTGCTCCATTTGTCCAATTTTAGACAGGTGTGGCTGTTGGGGTAGGATGGGACAGAGACTAGAATAGCTTGCATGTATTCATCTTTCTCCGCCTGTTATTCACCCGTCCATCATGTTAGCCCTGATAAAGTGAGGTTCGTGGGCTGAACAATATTCATATACTCATGTAAAAATTCTTCTTTCAGGTACTTGTCACCACCTAAACAAATAAGAGTAAAATCATAAATACATATATACACGATCTTTGAGAGCTATGTACAGATAGCATAGGCAAATTGAATCAGTAAGTCATCCTTCATCCTTCTCAATGCACCTCAAAGACATTTTTAGCTTTATATATGAGTGTAAAGAGCTGTTGTTAAATTATTTGCACAAAGTAAACTATATACACTAAGTTAATGTATAACATAGACCATATCTGTCTATGTACATATTTTTTTCTGTTTTTTTTTATACAGATACAATTTCCAATGTAATTTGTAGCAGCTTTCTACTCATACATCTACAAAGTTTTATAGTTTTATCACTAACACCTGTACAAACAAAGAATTTGTAGGACTGTGTACTAAAGTAGGATAATATATGCATTTTTGAAATGTATTATTAGAAATATTTAGTATATGATTGGAATATAAATGATTTTATAAATTAATAAATACAGATCTACATGTCATCATATAAATAACAAATGCAAAAATTTAGGAACAATTTAAAAGTAGGATAACCATTCATCTATCATCCAAAGTTCTAGAAATGTTTATACTTTCATCATTTATGCTTTCTATATCCATATAAGTGTACCTGTATCATTGTCTGCCTATTTTTTCATTGAATTCTCAACCGTGGAACAACGTTATGATATGATTATTGAAATGGACTAGAGGTAATATATAGTAGATTGTTTAGCAGCTTAGCTGACATCTAAAAATTAGATAAAAATAGCCATCCAACTCTCAATTGTGAAAATGAAAATATCTTTAAGCTAGTAAAATGTTCTTTAGTAATCAAATCACCTAAGAGAAGCTGTTTTACATTTATCTCTGATTTTTCATATTTTATTTGTGAAAATAAAATATGAAATGTTTACTTTTAAGCAATCTAAATTTGAAAGTTTAAATATATCTCATGTATATTCGCTTTGCATAATGTATATTCCCCTTGCAATAATAATTGAAATCTATTCATTTTGCTACTATGTCTTTCCAGAAGAGACTTTCTAATCAACTGAATGGAAAAACACAACCTCACAGTGGTACATGAATTCATTCTGAAGGGTATCTCCTCACGTCCTGAGCTGCAGAATAACTCTTTGGGCTGTTCCTCATCATCTACATGAGCACACTGGTGGGCAACTTGGGCATGATCATCCTCATCAAGGTGGACCACAGGCTCCAAACACCCATGTACTTTTTTCTCAAACACCTGGCTCTTACAGATCTTGGTTATTCTACAGCTGTGGGCCCCAAAATGTTGGTAAATTTTGTGGTGGATCAAAATATGATCAACTATTATTTTTGTGCTACACAACTAGCTTTCTTTCTTTTTTTCATTTCTTGTGAACTTTTTATTCTGTCAGCAATGGCCTATGACCGCTACATGGCCATCTGTAATCCTCTCCTCTACATGGTCATCATGTCACAAAGGGTATGTCTCTTGTTGGTGGCAATCCCCTATCTCTACAGTACTTTTTTATCTCTTCTAATCACCATAAAGATTTTTACTTTACCCTTCTGTGGCTACAATGTCATCAGTCATTTTTACTGTGATAGTCTCCCCTTGCTATCTTTGCTTTGTTCAAACACACATGAAATTGAAGTGATAATTCTGGTCTTTGCAGCTTTTGATTTGATTTCCTCTCTTCTGATCATTCTTGTGTCCTACCTGCTCATCCTCATAACCATTCTCAGGATGAAGTCTGCTGAGGGCAGGCGCAAGTCTTTCTCCACCTGTGGATCCCACCTGACAGTAGTCATAGTGTTCTATGGGACTTTGATATTCATTTATTTGCAGCCGAATTCAGGTCACTACTTTGACACTGATAAACTGGCTTCCGTATTTTAAACCCTGGTCATCCCCATGTTGAATCCCTTCATCTATAGCTTGAGAAACAAAGATGAAAAATATGCCCTAAAGAGGACATGGAAAAAGATGTGGAATATTTTTTCTTAAAAGTAGCATAGAATTTAAGTCAGACAAGTCATACAAATACCTGCATTATGGGGCTGGGGCTGTAGTTCAGTGGTAGAGCACTTGCCTCACTCACATGAGGCACTGGGTTCGATCCTCAGCACCACATAGAAAAAAAATAAAAAAAAAAAATATATATATATATAAACAAATACCTGCATTTGATTCTTTTGGAATGTATAGAAAGCAAAAGTACACTCATTATATATTTAAAGATTGGTCTTTTGTTATTAGTCAGATTTCTAAATATTATAAATATGTAAGTGAACAAAATGATAAAAATTGTTGCTTTACTTGATGGGAAGAAATTAATTATAAACAAAATAAATCAGTAAATGTTATAGTAAAGTAATGTGTGTTTAAAGTCCTCAGATCCAAAGTTCAGGTAGAATAGTATGCTGTATGGGAATGAAAAAAAAACATCTACCTATTTATCTATCTATACACATACAAACACACACACACATTTTTTTTTGAAAAAGGAATTGAGATTTTTTGTTGTGGTTTTTATAGTTTCATGTATTACAATAAACTTTTCAGTATCCACATGTGTGTATGTTTGTTATGTTTGCTTCCTTTATTGGATAAGAAAAACATTTTGTTTTAAGCTTTAAACACTTCAATGATGGTATCAAAATCAACTTTTATTGTAACTTATTGCAAAGTGTTCAGCAGAAGATCTATCTTCTTCAAATATTTCCACTGCATAATACAGTACTTTTGTATTTAAATGTATAATATAATAATTTTAAATACATGTGCAATGTTTACAAGAGATCTCTAGAGCATATTTAGTTTCAGTAATTCAGATTTTGTATTGACTGAAAATTTTTCATTTACCCCAGTTTCTATTACATGTAACTATTATTCTACTTTCTCATTCAACTTGAGAATTTTGGATACCTCATTAAGCAGCTTAATGCGGTATTTGTCTTTTTGTACCTGGTTTATTTGATTTAGCATCATGTACTTCCAGTCTATCCATGTTATCTCATTTTAAAGTAGATTGTCTTTAAAATCTAATTCATATTCTACCACATCTAGGTGTCACATTTTACATATCCATTATCGTTGGATGGATATTTAGGTTGATTCCACATCTTTGCTAGTTTTAATTACAGTGTAATGAAAATGATAGTACTAGTACATCTCTGAGATGTTTATACAAGGGCTTTTTGACAAGACCTTGAAGCTGGATTACTTGCTCCTACAATCTATTAATAAATAAATAAAGCCACAGTTGAACATAAATTGTCCCTGACACTTAGCAGAAAAATTGTCCAAATTTCATTCAGCTTTCAAATACTTTGGGGATAATCCACTAATTGTTTAGCACCTCCTCAGGGAGAGTCTCAAATATGGAAAAAAAAAAACTTCCATAAATTTTCCTCATAAATGTAATGTTAAGAATCACCTGGAAGAATCAAGAGAGAAGGTTCATTATATGTAACAAACACAGAAAGTGTCATATGGTGCTGTATGCTGCCTATACCTACAGAAATGGTCAGTGTGCTCTGGCTTTGCCATCTGATGTAAGAGACCAAACCTTATTCAATTCTGTGCTTTGTACAGCTCTGTTGAAGTCTGAGCAGTAAGAAGTCCTCCATTCTGTTCTCTGAATGCTAATTTTTAAATATTTTCAAATGAGTTGAGAGGGTAAGAATATTTGAAACTCATTCTTTGTGTGTGTGTTTTAGAAAATATTGAATTTCACACACACATAAAATTTTATTTCTGAGATCACCCAAAAATGGGAGGAAGAGAAACCTTCAAGGATGATGATTTTTTTTTAATGATAGAATGTGAAACTTCAGTGACTCAGTGTTTTTATTTATTTATTTATTTATTTATTTATTTATTTATTTATTTATTTTTAGTTTTTAGTTTTCGGCAGACACAATGTTTTGTTTGTATGTGCTGCTGAGGATCCAACCCGGGCCGCACACATGCCAGGCAAGCGCGCTACCGCTTGAGCCACATCCCCAGCCCTGACTCAGTGTTTTGTTCTGATATTCTTCCAAACATTTGGTTATTTAGTGACCCTAGGCCCTTCCAGTGATCCTTTTAAAAATCAATTTAAATTTTAAGAATTATGAAAATATGTATCTCATCTCATCTGTTCCTCATCTGTTGATGAAGAAGAGGTGGTTACAATTCACAATTATATGTGAAAGGTATTCTATGAAAAATAGGAGACCTTTATGTTTCCAGTTTTATGGTGGTGGTAAATGTTCATTTTGCAGTGGAATCTGAAAAAAAAAAAACTTTTCTCAAACAACAGCACTAAAAATAAAAATGCCAGTATTCAATAGATGGTCAACTATGAAAGCACAATTTTTTTTATCTCCATTGAAGTCCCAATCCAGTAAACATAAAAGAAATTTATTTCCTTACCTTTTTGACACTGATCGTGTACACTTCTTTATTTGTAGTTTTTCATTATTAGAAATTATATCAAACAGTAACAACAAAAGACAGGCTTTACATTGTTTCTTATTGTACTTAGGTATTTCTTGAATGTTGTACTCTGATATTCTTTAACATACTTATGATTAAAGAAAGGTGTGTGCTTGGGACAGGGTTGATTATCAGTTAGCCACAGCCATGCAAGCAAAAGTGTCCATTAGTTAAATGTCAATTACATATAATCAGCTTTATGTATAATGTGATAAAATTTCATGATTCTCTTTTCTCGTAGCTCATTTACACACTGTACTCAATAAATTTTTCACTATAAAATGTGTCATTTCTAATTTTTAATGTATAAGCTATTTATGATCATTTTGCACCAGTGATAATTACCTTAAATGCCATGCAGCTACTTCTATGCTATATTTTTCAAACCTCAGGCTATTAGAAATATTCTGAGACATTTTGTTTACTTAAGCACAAATTTTATGCATTAATGGTTATGTCATATTTGGAAGGCGTACTTATGCCCTTAGCACCAAAAAGATTTCAAATCACAATTAGGAATCAACTTCACTGTATTTTGTCTTGTGTCTGTGATATTATGTCAGGCAAAAGTTTTATAAAACAGAAATTTATAAAATTTGTTTTTAAAATGTTTCATCCACTTAGCCTCCCAAATTTGATGAATCTTCATTCTATATTCAATGCCACTGACCTTATATCTCCTAATTTTCTCATATTTCCTTATGCTCCAGTAGGTCTTGCATGTAACTTACATCAGCTTTGTTACACAGAAATAAGAATATCTCAATTCTAATGACAATGCCTCATGAGGAAATTTAATATTTTAAGTATATTAATATCAAGGTAACATACTAAAATATTGTTGAAGCACTTATGAAAGATAAAAGGCAGGAAATATAAACCACAGCAAGTAGTGTGTCCAGTTTTACTCCTTAAGTATATTTGAGGAGGGGGCATGAACGGGAATTGGTGTAAATTGCATGAATCCATCACACTTGACATGTTCCTCACCTAGTCATCATTTGAGACCTTACAAAGAGATGAAGTCCATGAAAGTGCTCATCTGAATGTGTAAAAGAAACTTCTTTAAGGTAGGTTTCTGTCTCTCTCTGTCTCTCTCTCTCTCTCTCTCTCTATATATATATATATATATAGAGAGAGAGAGAGAGAGAGAGAGTGTATATATATATACACACACACACTAAGAAGTAAAAATGAAACTACATATATACGTGATCTTTTCTATTTTGTATTTTATGTTTCTATTAGTGCATTATATTTACACATAATAGTGGAGTTCATTTTGATATAACCATACTTCAAGGAATATAATATACTTCCTTTCAATCCCCAGTATTTTCTCTTTACCTTCTCTTTTCCTTCCCCCTTTCTCCTCTTCTACTCTATTGGTCTTCATTATATTTTTTTTCTAAGTTTGTGCTTTAGATATGCATAAAGGTATAATTCACTGTGGTGTCTTCATATATGTGCATAGAATAATTTGGTCGATTTCATTCCAGAATTCCTCTCTAGCCCCATCCCTTCTGCCTCCCCCTCAATCCCCTTCCTCTACTGCACTGATCTCCCTTCTATTTTCATGGAATCCCCCCACCCAACCTTTTTCATTTCTTTATTTTTCTCTAGATTCTGTAGATGAAAAAAAGAATTTTGATCTTTGATGTTCTGAGTCTGGCTTATTTTATGTAACATGGTATTCTCCAGTTCTCCTCATTTATCAGCAAGTGACATAATTTCATTATTTTTGTAACTAAACAGAACTTCATTGTGCACATATACCACATTTCTGTATGCATTCATCTGTTGATTGACACCCGGGATTGTTCCATAATATGGTGACTGTAAATTGCACTGATATAAACATTGTTGAGCCTGTATCACTATAGCATGCTTATTTCAGTTTGTTTGGTTCTGTTTATGAGAATAGTTTTCAAAATTATTTGCCTAACGTAATCTCTATAACCACTAAATAAACACATAACATAGACTATATGGAAATGGATACACATTTATTCTGATTATACAAAGACAATTTCTAAAGTGGTCTGTTGTAGTTTTCCATCCATACACTTACCTAGAGTGCTCAGAATTTCAGCTCTATCACTTGAAAGTATATAGATTTTATAGGATTATGGATTGATTTATTGAGTTGTATTCATTTTTTAATTAATAATTACAAATATTTATTATGTCATTGACATACCGCATTATCATTTATTAAATGTAATTAATAAATATCAAAATGATATTATAATTATATAAGTGACAAATAAAATTAATAGTACAATAATTACTTACCAAACACCCAAAGTTTAAGGAATGTTTAACTCTTTTTAGTTTTTATTTATGTGTCTATATCTTTATCAATATCCTTATATCATCATTTTTCTCTGAGTTTACTAGCCTTGGAACAATTTTAT